GTAGGTCAGTAGGTCGGTAGGTCGGTCGGTCGGTCGTCGGTCGGTCGGTCGGTCGGTCGGTGGGTCGGTCGGTCGGTCGGTAGGTAGGTAGGTGGGTGGGTAGGTAGGTAGGAAGGTAGGTAAGTAGGTAGGTAGGTAGGTAGGTAGGTAGGTAGGTAGGTAGGCAGGTAGGTAAGTAGGGAGACGGGAGGGGATGGTAGAGAGGGGGAGCGGGGAGGGGGAGGTGGGGATGGGCGGGAGAAGAAGGGAGAGGGATGGAGAGGAGCATGAGCACAATACTGACGTGTGGAGACAGTGCAGGATAGTGCAGGCACACAGGCTCCGGGCCATGTCCTGCTTCCATACAGGGAGAGGGTACCTTCCAAACCCCACATGCAGACTCACTCACTCCTTTCCCTCCCTTTTGCTTTGTTTTTTCGCTCGCTCACTCACTCACTCACTCACTCACTCACTCACACCGTGTGACATTGCCACGAAACCACTGCATCGCTCCAGGGAGCTGTCAGAGCAATGCACGAAGAAAGATGTTGTGCAAGCATCCCGAGCGCACGTGTCCCACTCTTGCTGTGGATACTCAGGATCCGGGATCTCGTCCTCGCGGCCATCAAGTCGGAGATCAGCATACCTGGCTCCGCAAGTGCCTCTTGAAACAAACAGCATGTCGAACATCCGCAAGCTTGCGCCTCTTGTCCATCTCGGTACGTTCCTTCACAACCGAAACAGCTGTCGATTGCAATTGCGACGAGGAAGCAAGTACATTTGGAATCTGCATGGTTGCTTTTTGAATGTGTCTTTGTCGGACCTTGTCGATTGGGATAATGTTCCGCTTGCCGACCATCCCACGCAGGAAGTACCTGCAAGTGCTATGGACGAAGGACTCGCCGGAGGCTTCCACACAGTGCCCGCCCCAGGCTATCGCTTCATTGCCCTGGGCGCACGCGTTCTTGTTGCGGCCAATGAAGCCTCGCCTCATCACCTGGATCCTTGTGATCAGCGGCGAATGCATGGGAAACTGGAACTCGTAGCCGACCTCAGCATGTGCATGCATGCAGTCAGAACAACACAGCTTGGACAGGGTCAAGCTCCCGGCAGAAGACAAGCCCTTGCCGATCATAGCACGGACCGTCATTGTGCGCGCGTGGTACTCCCCCCTCGATGCTGCAACATGCTGCCACGATATGAACTAGAGTTGCGGAAGTGCAAGCGTCGGCGAGTGACAGATTATGGATCTGCAGGATGGCGACCGCTGCGTGATCCTTCTACAGAGATCATGCTCTAGTAGGCTTGGGCACAGACCGAAAGTTCAGGATCGTGCCATCGAAGTACGTCTCGCGCAGTTGGTCCTTCGACAGCTTGAGGCCACGAACCTCCTGCGCGCTGAGTTGGAATGCTGAGAGCCGGAGAGATGCTGAAGCTGAGGGTTTGCAAGCAATCAAGATTTGAGAGCATCAACTTTTGCCGGGGCCGCCCCAGCCATTCACTTTTACTCAAGCCGCCAAAGCCTGCGTGACCCTATTGCATGCCCTTGCATGAAGCCTCGCGGCAGCAATCACGGTGGCAAGCTATACAACAACAGCAGTAAGAGTAGACAGAGCCACCTGTGTTGAAGTTCAAGCCAACTCCGGTATCAAAGCCGGAAGGGATAATTAGCTAGGCTTGGATTATTTTCCGACGTGTTCCTTCGGGCATACGAGGCAAGCTTCTAATACCCGGCAAGGTATCTCAACTTGTGCTGAGCGTGAAGGCTTCGAAACTTTGCAGGTCATCAGCGCTGTAGGCCCTACGAGTATACTCTCGCACTGCCGAAACGGTTGCTTGTCCAGTGTAGTTGGACCGCAGGCTTTTGCAACAAGAAAGAACTTGCAGTTTAAAGAGTCATCGCAGTACTAGTATCAAGGCAGGGAACAGGGAGTGGGGCAAGGTTTAGAAAGGTCGAGAGCACCCGACGGTGCAGTCAAATTATGGCAAGCGAGAACACAGCAACACTTTTATACACAATCATGTCGGAAGGATTAGTGACTATGAAGCGCCTTGTCGCCAGAGCCTGGCTTGGCCTCCAGGTAATACACGCGCACAGTGTCGCCTGCCTGGGGGGGCACCGTCTAGCAGTTAAGAAAAGACTCTATTCTAGCATGTTCTGGCTTTCGCTTTCAGTACAAGCGACTGGAAATGGCTTGTCAATTCGGCAGGACTTCTTGCAACATTCCATCGGCTTCCCGACCAGCCTGAAGCCGGTGTGGGAAAAAGTCCACGGGCTTCTTGTATATGTCGAAAAATTTCATGTTCACCTTTGGCCAGGACAACTGGCACAGCAAAGAATACGGACGGGAGCAAGGCCGAAGGAACTCCTGCCTTGTGCCGGTCAATGTGGCGTTGCTTGTACCAAGCCTTTGGCGGCTCCTGACAAACGCGAGAAAACTACCGTCACTACAACCACCACGAACTGCGTGAGTAGGCAACCGCCCCCGCACCAGCACCAGCAACATCAGCTTCGCCACCACCGATAATACAGTGCTCAGCATCCCCACCTCACGACCCACCAACCGAACCAGCGTCATGATGCCAGCTATGCACAATATGAAAAGAGGCAGCACCTCACCATGCATCATTGCATCATTCTCTACCGGCTTGCCGCCCAGGGCACCCTCTTGCCACCCTTGGTCATCGTCGACCCGGTCCATCATCAGAAAGGCGCAGGTTCATGTGTTTCTGGCATCCCCAGAGCACTGGTCATAATCAGGGTCATCTATCACATCATTATCGCATGTTATCGCGGTTGCCATCATCACCATACGAATCGCCACTACCATTTGTCAATGTCTGTATAGTACAAATACGAGTAGCTACCAGAATTAGCCATGACCGTCATCCTCAGGCCATCGCCACCATCACAACCGCCAGCATCACAGTCATAACCATCCCCTGTCTGTTTCTTGCCCTCTGCGACCTCGTCGAATGCGTAGTCCGCTTTCAGCTCCTCAGGGACAAACACAACCCCTCACAAACGTCTACATGCCGATGGCTTCGTTTCGCCGGGCTGCCACATTGGACTCTTCCTGCCAAGGTCGCAAAGCGGCAGCAAACCCACACGATCACACGTTGCGATTTGCCTCGTCGTCCTCATCCTCGAATTCCTCTTCGTAATCCTCTTCGTCGTCGTCCTTACCACTTGACGGCAATCTCAAGCCCTGCAAAATGGAAACAACATGTGATCTCGCTACTCAGGACGAGGCCAATGCCTGAAAGCATCGCATGCTTTGGCAGGCAACAAGGTAATTCGTCAGCTTAGGTTTATTCTTGCCTCGTTGTCTGCTTCTGCTCGGCGCACTGCCCTGGGGGCCTTGATTGCATTTCACATTCGGTAGCCAAAACTTCTGGTGGATAAGTTATGCGTGCCTCCGGCCGCACCCGCAAGGACGTTCCAACGAAGGTGTCGCCAGTGGGCCTACCAACACAAAGCTGTGGAGAAACGATTGTTCAAAGGAAATCACGAGCATCGGCCACCTCAACACAAGCGCCAGCGGGGCCAACAGCGCCACCAGCGCCAACGCTGCAGGGAGGCGCCCTGCCTTGGCCGCCATTTTGTTGTCTCGACCGCCTGCGACGAAGCGCCCTGTACAGCCGAGCCATGTTTTTTGAGCCGAAACCGCCGTGCACAAGCGCAACTGCTTCTTTACACAAGCAGCAACATGCCTCCACTAAGCAGCCAAACAGTGCATTACTGAGGTCGTTGGCAACCTTGACGGTCTGCAGACTCTGGCTCGCGCACCGGGTTGGCTGACTGACAAAGCGTCTTCTTTGGATGCCCTTACTTTGTGAAACATCTACGACAAAGGTTGCTACAAAGGTAGCTTCCAAGGTACATTGTGCGGAAAGTTCAAAGTCCCATGACCGTGATTTGGCGCGTAGCTCAGGCATTGATCGTGAAGGAAGGCGTGGTTTGGCCACTCTAGACGGGTCAGCACCGGAGAGGGTATTCTGCTCCGCGTTGAAGAACCTAATCACAACGACTTTTGGACGAGTCCATATATGGCGCATGTGGTGGATGGAGTTCCTTACTCGGCGCAAACTAGTGTAGAGTGGGCGGTGACGGCTTTTGTGGGTTGGGACACCTAATTACGAATGGCATGAGGAATCTACATGGACGGAGTTGCAAACTGAGTTGCATGACAGCCCTGGAGTAGGGTTTTCTTTTGCGGTGTCCGCGGGCGTGGCCGGACCGCGGTGCCGCGGGCCGCGGAGCCGGCAAAGAAGCTGCCACTATATTGGACAAACCCCAAACCCTAAAAATAGATGCTGAAACCCAAGACAAAAGATATGGTTGGGAAAACCCAAACCCTAATAAAATTGTTGGTTGACCCAGCGCCTGCCAAGAAGCTGCTCTTGACAAGCCCCCAACCCCCAAAATGGTTGGGCAACCCAAGACCCTAAAGGAGATGTTGCTTGACCCAAAGCATGCACAGAAGCGGCCATTGACAAAACCCAAACCTTGCAAGGAGATGCTGAAACCCTAAACAAAAGAATGGTTCCTCGAGGAAGCCCAAACCCCCCCAAAAAATGTTGCACACTTAGCCCCCCAGCCCCCCCAGCCCAGCCCCAGCCCCCCAGCTCCCAGCCCCAAGCCGTGATGGGCTTTTTGGCCTTTTGCCAGCCCTTTAACCCTCCGCCTGTAGGGTTTAAGCGTTAAGCGTCAGGGCTTAGGGCTTATAGGGTTCGCCAGCGCATTTTTTTCGGCAAAGCTGAAAGGGGGCTTT